CACACACACACACACACACACACACACACACACACACACACACACACACACACAAAAAAAAGAGTTGTTAACTGCCCTCCTAAATTAATTGTTTTCAAAGTAGTGTGGAGCTTTCATAAGTAGTTAATGAAATAAAGCTTTTTTCAGCTCAATTTGTGTTTGGATAATTCATAGGAAATCCAGGCTAAATCCAAACAGGGACAAAATAAAAGTAATTTTTCGTCTGAAAGTAAAAAAAAAATGGGCACAACATGACTGAGAAATAATTTCTGCAGCTGCAACTCTCGTAAATGGCCAACAGGCCTCCAGATTAGCATCAAAAATTATGATTTGCTCACACCAGCTGTCTGCTTCTTGTTGTTTTTGAATCAGGCTGACATAATTATGAGTCACAGATGATTGGTGGCAGAATACATTTGGCAGCATTCGCCCATGCAGTGGTACCAAACAACAAGTGTGCTGTTTAGCTGAGAAAATAGTGACAAAGTCTAACTCTCTTATGCAAAAGTGACAATGTGTAAAATACTTGAATTCTCTCATATTGCAATGCATTATTTGAGTGTTGAGTTGTAAAAATATGTTCTTTTTTGTGTCCTTGTTTTGAGTGTCTGTTAGCCTAAGCTTTCCATAAAAACTGTGATGATATTGACACTGGGTATTGAGAAGTACTTCACTTACTTCTTCTATTATAATATACTGTATCTTTGCAAAATTATTGTAAATTTGTCAAAATATAAACATTTTTTTACATGCAACCCCCAAACATTATTAATCATTCACATAAACACAGACATGCAACAATAACCTGCAGTTTTTGCAAAATAATGTATTTTTTAATTTAAAAAATATGTTTTGGCCAGAGTGTGTGTCTTTCTGTTAGCAAAACATTTTATAAAATATTAATAGATTTTAATGAAACTTCCAGAAAGTAGTTCTTGGATGTACATCTACAGTTCATTTGGTTTTGGACTCAGCCCAATCCGCCACAGCTCATTGACTTTAACAATAAAAAAATGACTAATGTAATCAGTTTTAAAAAAGTATTGAGATAAAATTGGTTATATTAGTAGCTAATCCTTATTCTCAACATAAGCTCTGACTACACTTGAGATCTTTGATAAAACCTTGCCACTGACTATTGGTATAACTCTGTCTGTTAGCATAATATCTTATCAGTCACTGGGCAGGTTTTAATGAAAATCTCAGAACGTAATTAATGAATATGCATCTACAATATTTATATTTGAGGCCAACCTAGTTACTTATCAGTTCCAGTCAACTCAGCTAAAAGTGAAATTGTGCACAATGTTATTTTTATTGTATTATCAAACCAAATATAACCCTGTTATTTCTCAAGATAAAATGATCTTAGTTTAGGGTTTGGCACAAAAGCCAATGAGCAATATCCATTCCTTGAAGGAACGCTGGACCTGTAAAAATTCTTTAAAAACTATATTGCAAAGTGGATGTGTAATCTTCTTAACCCCCACCCCCCAGCATCAGATGGAGTAGTTCAAAATGCCGCGATGAAAATGTTTTTAAATAAGGATTATTGTTTTGTCCCTGCATTATCTACATCTCTGCTAATCCATGGCAGCATGCGGACCTTTTCAGAAATTAGGTGCAACACAGCTTTGTGATGACGGACGCAGAGTATTGCAAGGGCTGGTGCGCTGACAATACAGGCAGGAAGGTAAATCGGGTTGTATTGAGGATTAGGAGCACAATAACACAAGTGAGAGAGAGAGAGAGAGAGAGAGAGAGAGAGAGAGAGAGAGAGAGAGAGAGAGAGAGAGAGAGAGAGAGAGAGAGAGAACAAAACAACACTCATATCAGAGCTGACATTTCACTTACAGAGACCATATCTGGCTGGACTGACATGAAAACCCTGACACTTTCACTTGTATTCTTTTCAGCTTCTCTTATCTACAGTCCTTGATTTTTTGTTGCTTTATCCAGGATTTTTTTTTTTGTTTATTCTTCCTCGTTTTTTAATTTTGCTAGGAATTATCACAAGAATTTGGAATACGACGTCACAAAAAGTTTGGATTACAAGCATCTTGATCAGGAAAAAAAAATTGGTCTGAAACTATGATCCCACCAAAGCTTCTTGTGTATCGTCGCACACACTGTGATGTTAACTTAGAGACGGTCCACGAGACGTGGAGACGCAAGAAGTCTTGCGGAGATCTTTTTCAGAATGGATACAGGGTGAGGCAGGGCCGTCATGGACGCTGGGGAAAAGGAAAGCAGTCTGGGCTTTACCATTCACTTTGGTCCTGTTTTCATATTCTCTCCAACTGGGGTAAGAACCTTAGTGTGGATGGATTATCTGGAGGTGGATACAGACATTTATTTGGTACATTTGTTAGAATAACCGTATATATAAAACTGACTTTTATAATGAGAATAAAAATACACTAAATTTGCTGTAATAAAATGTGCAGATGAGTGGTGACCACACGCATTTTCCATGGGATCAGATTTGTCATGTAAAAACACAATGAAGTAGATGTCATATTGTTCTGTAATCCTTCAACAGAGCTGTTTTTGGATTTAGACTAAAGCTTGCTCTACATAATTTTCCTACTAACTCAATATTTCATTCTGTAACTATCATTTCTGTTTCCTTAATTCCTCATTGCAAAATATCTTATGTCTATAAACTCCAAAAATGTGGGTCAAATTTATTTTTAACAGAAGTTCTGCTTTTAAAATTCTCTCTCCCTGCTTCACATTACTAATCCCTTTCTCTCTGTCTTGTCTCTGTCTTTCTCATCACAGGTTTGAGATTTCTGAGGGCACTAAGATTGATTCAGTTCTCAGAAATTTTACAGTTCTTAAATATTTTGAAAACAAGGTAAGAATCGGACTTGCCGTGCTTTAAAATGCAACTGCAAAAGCATTTCTATAGCCTTTCTAAAAATATTGTTGGATTGTTTTTCTTCTAACCAGCAATTCCATCAAGCTGGTGAACTTGTGTTCCATCTTCATAAGCACATGGCTCACAGCTGCTGGGTTCATACATTTGGTAAGAGGACCTTTGTGTGGGACACTGGGGGCACTTTTAGACATTTATAGGCCACTATTATAAAAATACAAACATTGTGGGAAAGTATTTCAGAGCATTATTTGACACTTTTATTTTTTTCAAATAAAGATTTGTAAAGCATGTTTTGCCCCCAATATAATCTGAAGGACACATTTTAGTGTGACATTGAAGCAAAATATGTTACAACTTCAGAAACATAAAATTCTTATTGAGGAGTCAATAAAACAGATGTATCTAATGCGCAGCAATTTTTAATGTAAAACCAAATGACAGCTTCTTTATCTCTGAAAAGGCCTGCTTTGAGGCCGACGCAGCAGTTAAAAGTCTGGCTGTTCAGTTTTCTGCAGCTGGTTCAAAAACTCTGCAGCCAGACCTTTTTATCTGGTGCCAGAAAAAAAAACAAAAACAAAACAAAACAAAAAAAAACAAAA